GTGAAGCTTATCATAGTTGTAAAAAAATCTATGCCTGAGGCCATTTGTAAAGAGTTGCCTGGGGTGATGGCCATACATTTGTTCAAGGCCGTGGGACTTTTCGGCAGGAGTYGGTGCCYTCCTGGTCTATAGAATCAGGAAAATGGAACAATGAACAGGCTCAATACAATCTTTATTTGCAGCTTGCTTGAGTAACTTTGAGTGAAGAAGGTGCGTGTTTAAATTTGTGTTTTGTGTAATTATAGCGTCCATCTTTTTGAAATGCTCACTTTCTTAATTGATGCTTATGGAAAAAGGTATTACAAAATATCAAAAAACTATATAGGAATGATTATTTTAGGACCTTTTAGGATTTGTAAAACAAGGCTGAACCCAAGRTAAAGCGTCAAATTCAGTTGAGCATGGCACAGCGTAATTTCGTTTCTGTATGTACTAAATTTAGGAGTGACGCTTGATGATTAACTTTAGTCGGCAGAGGTTGATCTCTTYTGGTTTATCACGTGGTGTAGTCTGAAAAGCGCGTCCGAATGTTGGTGCTCGGCAAGGAGCATCTCGAAGCTACCAATCGGGAATTGTCTTTTGAATTTCGCTAACACATAGAATTTTGTTTGAAATTGATGAAAACCAAGATCGGCCTGTTTTAGTTCAAGAGGGCCATGGACCAAAGACCAAAGGATGAAGACGCATGGTTCTCAATGAGTGATGAGGAAATTCACCGACTGTTCCATTTCACTTCAGTGACTGACACGTCGCTGTTCACCGGCTTCAACTGATCCGCAAATCAACACAAATAATGAGGAAAGATCATGGGAAACAAGAGCAGAGTCTGCCAAACACAAGCGGTTGTCGTTGGTTGTTTTCAAGTTGGTTGCATCAAAAACTGAAAGTGGACTTCAAAGTGAACGAATTGCGAAGTTGCTCAAACGTGAGGGGATAACACATAGAAACACAATATTATGCACAGTGAGGAAAGATCCATCGAGAGAAGAGACCTGATGGAGCTGTTTTGTCCCTGAACGGTTAGTGATCAATTGAGTTATGGACCGCCAACTAAACGAAACGCGATATGCTAGGAAGAATGAAGTCAATTTTATACAATACAACACGGCTTATTACAATGTCGCAGATAATTTAGGACACTTAGTCAATGCCAAAACATGTTGCAAAGATTAGATATATTTTTCGTACATTTGAGAGGTAAAAAAGATTAGTTTTGCACAAAAACAGTAACAATTTGCACCCTAATGATATATTTACACAGGTGCTGATGTTTAGATTATTATGTTTTTTATATATTTATATATTAAAGAAAGCTTTTGTAGTCTGTTTCAATATAGATAGAACTAATTATTTACAAGCTCAGAATAGAAACGATTTAGTCTATGAAACACTTTTTAAGACCAGGATACCCTTTTTCGCCTGAACTTTGAACTTGTTGTTTGTATACATTTATCTTAAAGTTCTAAAATGTAAAGAAACACTTGTTTGTAGCACTTGAATAGACTCTTGCATTCTCTGTGTTATGGTAAGTATTTTGTACGGGTTCAGTTCTTCTAAATTTCGGGTGGAMTAGTTCTTCTWGTAGAAAKGTTCAATGACGTACAACCTCAGAAATATTCCTGCAGCCTTTCTGGTCGACACTGGAAWGAAATATAAACTAACCAGTAATGTCTAATTCCTCTCTTYTTGAAGGTTTTTAGTCTGTATCTGTGTACTACTACGCCGGKATTAGTAKYCGAAATGCCATCTGCAAGGCCTGACCAAACGCACATGCCAACGGCACCAGAATTGTCTGCATTCCTTCTCCAGCACTTGACACAACAATTGGCACACATTTAAATATTGTTGCGACGACAATGGCCAACAATTGGAATACGGCGGGAATGATCTGATTAACARCCAAATTCATTATAAGTTGCAAAATTTTGAAAATCGCCGATATGAGTGTCCGAACTAGCTGAACTGCGCAATTTGCAATGACTTGCGCGACTGCTACTACTATGTGAATTGGCATCGTAGAGCTTGAAAAAATCTTTCTTGATTTGTCGACCGCTCAGCTGGCTTATTGTTAGTTAAATGACTTCAAGGAATATCATCGAGACTGTATAGAAGGTTAACTGAGGGGTTAGAAAAAACCCTTYGATGTGTAAGCCACTCATTGGCTCATTCCACTCGACTATGACATGGAAATGAGTTCGAGTTTCAGGGACTTTCCCTTRTTGTCAATTCGAAGACCCTGGGAGCAGGATAAGCGAAGGGACCTTTCTGTTGTTTTGAAGACATCGCTGTTTAGAGAAATTATTTTGACAATACTGTTTGCATTAGTTATTTTTCAGATTTTGTAGCTCCAACAATTTAGTGATTCATTTTAAGTACAAGTGTGAGTTTTGTTTTTTACCTCGTCTTTGGAACGACTGGTAGACTTATTCTGGTGACCAGAAAACTAAATAATAAAGTCTGTTCAAATCCAAGGAACAGATTTTCTAAAAGGAACTTGTATGATTTACTATAGGTCTGGTCTTCTCTGTTTTACTTTAATTCCATAAAATAGTAGGCCATAGTGACTAGGCCGGTTCCTGCCATAACACAATTTAAACCACGCGTTCACTACATATGTAAGCTTAGCGTTTGGTAATAACGCGCGCATTGATCAAAGCTACAGGATTTCATGATCAGGGAATGCTCAGCCTTTATTGTGAATACACAATGAAAAGAAAAAAGAAATACCCAGATGAGCTGATAAAAATTGTGCTTTCGTTGGACCGGCGCTTTGATATGATGACTGCGGATGAACGTTTCAACTTTTCATGACTGCAAGTGGAAACCGTGACAAGATGTGACTGATTGTGACTCAAGAGTGGAAATAAGTAAGGTAAGATTTTTAATTTCGTTTAAAAAAATCTTTATTATCGAAAAGTTGTTGATAATGAGCCAGGCTTCATTTCTTATGAGTTTAGATGATTTTGGAAGAAGGGAAATTTCTTTCAGGCTTAAAATGGTCTAATAACCCACGCACTAGACGCTTTCTAGACGAAGGGAATTTTCCCTAATTAAATATTCATGACTTTGGTATTGTTATTATGACAAGTGCCGCGTCAGGGAATTTTCCCTTCGTATTTACCCAGACAGACTCAATGGCTATTTAATCAATAACGGTCATAACTGGCGACAAGTGTGGCACGTAAATGTCTCATGAGAGGCCAAACACGATCATCTAGAATTTAAACGGTTTGATATAATAAGAACGTCCAGATGATGATGGCTGATGGACAATCGCGTGACAACGGTAACGTTTCTCCTAGTGACTATGAAGTGAGAAATGATGTAGTTAGTTGATAAACTCTGTTTTCGTTAAAAAGYATGCAGAAAAACAGTGAACTAACTTTGGTTACTTGTATTGTTCTAGGAGGAAAATTACTATATTCAACTTGAATTGTAATATATTACTCGTAAAAATAAGTGAATTTCACTTAAAGTAGCAGGGCATGCCCTTCCAGTAGTATGAAAAGAAACATTTTTAGGCCTTTCGAWTACTTTTTGTCAAAGCTTGGAAAACCCATTGAATCGTGGAATTCAAGCAAGTTTATTTGCATTTTTACATAAACAAGCAGTCGTTGCCAGAATGGTCTGATATTGTAAACCAATTTGTAACATTTTTGGATTGTTTCTTGGCTTTTTAAAGCAAGAAACATTGGAAAAACAATCAAGGAACATTTAGTATATATAGTGTACATTTACCACTTCTTAACGCACGATATCTCAAAAATTCAAGAAACTTGGAGCAGCTTGATAATCTACAAAACTTTTAAAGACTGAAAACCGCTAAATAAAGAATAGAGTCATTGTCAGTATATTGTTTCATTTAGTAATCAGAACAATGCTTACATGATACTGACTAAAACATTTACGTCATACTGCCTGATGATGATTTCATGGACTTAGTACTGTGGATGTAACTTCCAGCCTGGACAGTACACGATGTTACGTGTTTCTCTGAAGTCTGGAGAGCCTAGTGAATCTTACCGGTCCTTCTTTTAAAGGAGATTATAATATGAGATGTTCTACAGGCATCGGAACTGACTTCTAGTATGTAAGTAATGGGCGTGCTTGGGTATTTTATACCATCTTACGCATTGTTGAATCGGCATGCGTGCATGGCATCTCTTACATGTCGGCGTGGTGGGGCGTGACACCTGCCTGGTGAGACACTATTAGGGAAAATTCCCTACTTAACATCGAAGGGAAAATTCCCTTTGGTATAAACAATGACAATAGTGGCTTTAGACGCTGCATTTATGGTGACAGCTTGAATCAATAAAGCCAGGCGACCAGACGCTCATTTGAAGCCGGAAATCTTAAACGAAAACAGTTGGAATATTCACATGCCAATGGTGATCCTTTGCTAAAGATATCCACTATTAGACAGCCCATGAAATGAAAGTTGTTGGATCAATGAACAAGGACTAGCATGGATGCCAATTTCGAGGGACATTGAGCGCGTCAGCGGTAACTCAACGTGAACTTATGAATACTGAAAGTGAGTTACACGAACGGAGATGTTGTTATAGTCAGAACGATCGTTTCGTTCTTGTTTGTTTGTTTTTAAAGAATCAACGGCATCCTGTAAGTATATCGTTGACTATAGGCATCCGTTAAACGAATAAAGAGTCTAAATTATGTTTCGAGTAAACTATCTGACAATTTTGTACTTTTGCGTTCTTATGACACTTGTTAGTGTGGTCTTTCCTGTGGTGAGGTTCAGTTTTCGATGAATGTAATATTTTCACACTCGTTCCCAGTCTCCTTTTGAATTTCGGAAAGGGCAATTTGCCGCCTAGAAGACCGCAATGCTTTATGGCCGCTATCGCAATAAAGTTTAATGCCAAATATGGCATGTCACATGTTTTTTTCTTGAACAAAACCGGAGTGTTTTAACTTATACTTGTATAACGGACCCATGTGATTAGGCAAGCATACCTATATAGTATTTTACAAAGGCTCAAAGACGACGGAGCTTTGTGCTTCAGTTGGCTTTCTCTAAAGTCTCAAGGAGCAACATCTTAGCGAAAACAAGTAAGGAATAGGAATTCATGGCAATTCCACGTTGGTAACGCACGAATTTAGCTCAAAAAATAGTATACTCCATGTTCAGTTGGGAAATCTACAACCGACAAGTTAGAAAAAAGAAAGACCTGATCAGTGAAGATCACACGTCAATCTCGATAGCCTTCTCACGTCCGGCAAGTTTGCGAAGAAAAACACAAGTATATTATTTGTTGGTTAAGTGCCTCCACAAGCATTGCTCAGCAGTTCTTTTTACTACAGATCCATCAAGAGTTTTTGTACAGCCTTCACTCTCTTGGCAGTAGTGCGGTTGTGTTTTAATTGCGGGTTTTATAACAACGACGTACCATTTTATAAACAACACGTGGCTGGCGCGGTATGAGCAAGGGGGCGTCGCTTCCATGGTTAGTCACGATTTCAGCACGAGGGAAAATTCCCTTTCGACGAAACAGCCAATCACAAACAACTTGTGTCAATTGGTCGTCTATAACCTGTTGGCGCGCATTTATGATAAGAGTGGGGAATTTCCCTACTTCACATGACCTCAAACCCCGGATGATATGGCTTGTAAACAGGGAAAATTCCCTCTTTTGGTTTCGTCCGGTTGTATTGATTAATATTCTAAAACAAAAAGATAAAAACGAAATATGACTGTAATAACAAAACAGTTTCCCCATAATAGATTTTGGTGAATTGAATTTGCATTAATTATTCCTATAGGTCAAAACATTGGAAAAAATCGCGCGTTTTAAAGGTTGTAAATTTGATGTAAATATGATGTAAGTGTCCAAAATTCTGTAAATTTGATGTAAATGACTTTTGGACACTTACATCAAATTTACATCAAATTTACAACCTTTGAAGCGCGCGATTTTTTTCCAGTGAAAATTGATACGGTCGAACCTCTATAAACGGCCCTTCAGTGGTCACTCATGAATTTTCCAAAAGTCAATTCTCGTTATATTTACTGTAAGCGTGGCCCTCTATATTAGACGGTCAACCTCTATTAAGCGGTCACTTGGTCTTTCGCCATGCTGCCCGCTTAATAGAGGTTCGACCATTGTTTGGACAACTTTTCCTGGTTCCGATTTTGCTTTTGCTATGCTCGATTTTCTGTTACTTTTTTTTATATATATATACTTTATTTCTTAATTAGGATTTGCACAGTATTGGTGGCGTTGGACCTGGACTTGGAACTGGACTTTCGGAATCAGTTGTCTGAAGCTCCCTAATTAGGGAAGGCTCGGGATAGATACTTTTGACGTAAACCGGAAGTGAATTGAAAACAATAGAAAACATAGGAATGGAAACGAGGCTTAAAGTCCCTTGAGGTGTTCAGATGACAAATATCAAGGGATTCCCTTCACCTCAATTCAAGAAAAATTGCTTGTCAGTAGGAAAAGTACATTTTCTTGCTTCTTCCTAAGTTACTTCCGGTTTATGTCGTACGCATGAGATTGGTTCAAAATAATCACGTGGTCAAAAATACCGAGAATCAATCGCACGCACTGACACGACAAAATTTCTGGACGACAAGATACATCTAGTATGTATACGTTATACTAGTTATATTAGTACGATGATTTGAATAGCTACTGTATTATACAACCTTAAGAAGTTGTTTTTAACTTATTTCGTCATGAGCCGTTCGTTGAATGACATACCGAGAACCACACCAACAGATTTGAAACCCAAAGCACAAAGTATTGCCATTCCAATAAGGTCTAGTACAGAAGGAATAGATGAATTCTTTGATCCACCGTTGGAAAGGAAGTACGAATGTCCCATCTGCTTGCTTGGATTGAGAGAACCAGTACAAACGCAGTGTGGACATCGATTCTGCAGAAACTGTATTGTACGTTCTTTAAGGTGAGGCAATCATAAAAAATAAATTTGGTAAAATATGATTTCCGTCTTAATTTTACTTTCGTAGGAGCTAAAGACTTTTTGAATAGAGCGAAAGCCTAGTTTATTTTTCTCCTATATATAGGGAACCCACTCAACAAGGGGGGAGCGCTGGCCTGCATTCAATGATAATTAACACTTACATGTAATGCAAATGATAATTTTGAAATATAACTGTCATTTCAACTTTTCGTACTTGCATGGAGACCAATCAGATTATTATTAAGTTTATTAGTTGTGTGTCTATGCAGCTTTTGTCTTTGAAGTATTATACATGTGACGCTTAGTGCAAAAAGTATGTAATATGTGAGATCTGGATGAATTCATATTTGATGTCTCATGGTGAGACATCAACATATCTTGTGAGAATGTTTACATTTTTTTGTCGAAGTATAGAATTAAGACACAAGCAGATATCATTCCATGCATGCACAAATCAAACTGAAATATCTTGACATTGTTAATATTGTATAAATTTTTATATCATGAATAACACCAACTCAATGTATGAAAAGTGCAGGTGAAGTGGAGTGTGACAAAACCTTAGTAACATAACATGTCTACCAGCTAGAGGATTACAAATAAATGATAAAACTATACTTTTGAAATTAATTTATTCCTTAGTAAGAAAATGTAGTACTTAAAAACATGAAAAATAATTTTGCATTAAAATGTTCTATTTTCTTTTGAAACATATGAAGTAATGTTTGAATTATAGAAAGTTATTTATATGCACAATATTGTTTCTCAAGATGATAAATTTGCAAATGGTAAAATTCAAGACTCCCAGATGCAGACAAACCCATCAAGTGTGTTTACACTCCAATGCAGAATTGACAAGTTTACTTTTATAGCATTTATAGATCAAGCCAAAAAAGGTTTAAAATAGTACCAAGGTCAAGTAAACAAAAAAGTGCTGATTTGCACATTTTATGCTGGAGCGCTTCTGAAACATGACAAGCATCTTCAAACAGCCAATCAGTATATAACATGTATGGTCAACATTTGCCCTTATCACCACAAAAAAATGATAATCTGTGGTCAAGGACATATTTGTAGTTTTGTAACCAATAACTCACATATTATTATAGACAAAATTATCCATATACAGTTATAATTGTCTTAGCCACAATTTCAATGTATTAATTTCACTAAGAGGTCAAATTTTCAGAATTTGAACTTTGGTATTAACTCAGTGAAACAAATGCCAAAAAATAATTTATTGAAATTCGTAATAAATCCTATTTACAAATCTGTGAAAGGATAAAAAGCTATTTACACAAATTTAGAAAAATCCAAGAAAAAAAAACACAAGAAAAACGATGAACTATATATACAAAGTAAAAAAAAAAAAATAAATAAAAATAAAATATGCAAAAAATCTCAATGTATGAAAGCAGGGTTAACATTTAATATTAAAATCTAAAAAACTATCTTCAAACTTTCTGAAAAAAGGAGTACGAGATCCTCTAATGCAAGTTACACAAGATTTTAAAATTTCAAAGGACAGCTTAGCTCTAATGTACGTTATTGTGTCCGAATAACATTGTCCAGATTTATTGGCTAATTAATCTCTCAGCAAGTGCTTTTAACTCAGTCAAACTGCTATTTCAAGCAAAAATTTATATTCTATTTTAGATTATTTCATTGCACTTCTCATTGAATTCAAATTATACCAGCTTGCAGAGCTGTTGGAACTTCCTTTAAGACTGCTTTCACTTTCCAAAAACCCCTCATTAAAAAAATTCAAATTTCCTCTGACAATTATAGGTAAGAAATTGTTTCAGACAAATAGAATGCTGATCATTGCAATAATGATTTGAATTACTCAAAGGGACTTTTTTATTGAACAGATCCAAGTTGAATTTTAGTCATTATTAATTTGGAAGATATTTGCATCCTCCTAGTTTTTAGGTATATAGAGATGTGTGAGTGGTACAATAAGGCTGCTGATGATCTGGCAAATGTATATCTCAAATTTTTTGAAAAACTAAAAGTTCTAGGCTTTCAATAGAATATTTAGAAGTATTTTTGAAATTATAGTTTTTCATTTTTCATTTTCATTTCATATTGACAAAAACTTAGATCCTCAATAGGAAAGGCAATGTTTCAAAATCTGTAGTTGTCATTCCCAAATATTAGTTGCCCCTTATGACCAGGCGCACTAACTGTATTAGAATCTATTTGCTTGACTGGCAAAGTTTTTCTTTTGACCTTCTATTTGCATCTGATGTATATATCTGAAGCTTATTCAGATCAAACTTATGATATTGACTTTGTTTTGTTAATGTTATTCAGAGATGCCGGTAACAAGTGCCCAGTTGATAATGTACCTCTCTCAGAATCCGGAGTAAGTGCTAACTACTTCTATCACTTTGATTCTATGAGAGAGAGAGAGAAACATGATGGCCTTAAATGTCTGAATCCCAATCTAGACTATCATGTTGTGTCCTTAGGCAAGACACTTGATACTTTCACAGTGCCATGTTAACTTGAATAAAAAAGTCAAGCCAGAGATCCTGACTCAATACACTTTACAAAACTGTTAGATCACTTGATCCAACTAATAACTTACCATTGGTTTTACATAGCTCTATCCAGACAACTTTGCCAAGAGAGAAATGGGTATGTTCACTGTATGGTGTAGATATCATAAAGAAAGAGGATGTCCATGGAAAGGAACACTAAACGAACTGGAGGTTTGTACAGCCAAACAAGTTAAGGTTTTACAGTAGACAACTTACAATATCAACAATACAGTATCATTTGCATATATCATGCTATACTTTATTTGTTAATTTATTTAATATTGACTTATTTAGCTATTTATTTATTTATTCATTTGCAATAACATTTCAATTGAAAAATGTCAATGCAATACAAATACTAACATGTAAATAAATTTTAAATAAAATTCCTCCCTAAGAATGTTGTATGCAAATGACTTTGTTGTTATCTTATGTTATTTTAACTGGACAACTTTATCGGATTGACTGCATACCTGTTTAGTACAAAAAACTTCAAGAAAAGGCATAACCAATACAACAACAATATGGCGGCATATATTGTATACGTATTCATCGACCAAAGCTATCAACAACGCGTCCATATTTGATTCCTGTATTTTTATCCCAATAGAGTCACTTAAAGAGCTGCCCATATAGTGACGTCACATGTCCAAACAATTGTGGTACTGTTGTTCAACTGAAAGATATTGAGGAACATATGTCTATTTGCCCAAAACGAAAAGAAAAATGTGAATTCTGCGGAAAGTTGGTTTTATTTACAGAAATGAAGGTAACTAACCGTGGTGTTGATTTAYCCAGGAGTCATAGCGACCACACGGTACCGAGTACCACAGTGCCTAGTACTTTGCAAGACTTGGTCGTTTTATCGGTGACCGGTGACGTAATTTAACCAGGAGTCTTTGCGTTCACGACGGTACCGCGAATCGCGTTAGCAGTTCTTTGTCAGACTTAGTGATCACCGTGGTTGCAAAGAGGCTCAACGCTTTATTTTCTTTACGTTAACTAAGTCGATCTCATTTTTGAATTCATTTTTACAGAGTCACCACAAAGAATGCCCAAAATTCAAGACAACCTGCCCGAAATGCAAAGAAAAAATCACAAATGAAGAGGTAACCAGACGCAACTTGTTAAATAATCCAAGTATTATTTTATGTTTTTTCTTATAGAAACAATTGCTAATTGTTCTAAACTGAATAGATTTACCAAAATGGGATTGGGATTTTGTAACTGCCGACAAGTTTAAATAAGAATCGTTATTAATTGAATTGTTTTCCCATAGCTCGCCAATCATCGTGAGAAAGTCTGCCCAAAGGAAAAGATCAAGTGCCCGCTGCATTTCATGGGATGCAAAGAAGAGGTAACGATTGTTTCTTACCAATTTTCTAGATAATCATCGAGAGTCGACGTAACGTGAAGTGTTTCATCAGGTTTCCAATCACAGAAAAACATGTTCAAGTGTTTGAAAATCTGATGACTCATGAACAAATTCACGGTAAATTAACAGAGAAATTTAAATTAAAGAATCCCAACCAACCACAATACAGCGCGCGCTCGTGTTATTGTTTATATATGTTTAAATGCGTCAAGCATACAATAGATTATAGCTTGA